GCTTTCGAGTTTGTTTCAAACAGGGACATAGCATGGTGGAAGAAACAAGCAACATCAACATTCATAGCAAGTCCCAAGGGTGTTTCTTTTATTGGCTAAAATGCTAATACTGATAGATCAGCAAATATGTAACATGAGTTGATAAAATCAGCCCACTGATAAATTAGTCAAGGTAATTACGACATTAAAACATCATGATGATACAACAGGTTCAATAAATAAGACCGGCTACAGCCATGACTGTAAAACTGTACAGTATCACAGTGCTTTAAGGCAAATGCTTGTATCAGCATGTCAGTATACTCACAATCTCACACTATATTGTCATCAACTAAAGTACTGGACAGCTCCAAATTATAGCCAACAGAAGGTGTTTGAGTGAAAAAATACAAATGTCAAGATGTAATTTCAAAGGACCACCAGACTTCGTACAATTTGATCTCAGTAAAGCAGGAATACTGCAACGTTTCATCAAATAGTTGATAAAATAAGGATAATAAGTACTTACAATATGAGAAACTGACTCCCAGTTTGGCCGGTTCTCGTGGGTCTGAAACTACACCTGTCCCTTCTGCATGCCTCTTCTTATCTTTACTGAAATGAAAAAATATGTCAACAAAGATTTCAAACAGACTAACTATTAATTCAACTAATTATAAAATCTGCTGCTGGAGGCGTGGCAGACAGAAAGACAGAATCCCTCATGTAGGTAAACTCCACCTCGGGTGTGCCGGCAATCAGCTTTAGGTCAGTTGTCCATGGTCAGTGTCAGCTTTATTACTTTTTGCTCATCATACAATACACACCCTGAAGGAGTCTAAAAAAACTCACAAAAAAATCAAATCACCCATCATCGTGGCTTGGACCAAGGTGTGCTTTGAGCTACTGCTGTAAGCCCTTTGATTTGAACAGAGATGTATCTTCCTAACCACGCTAGAAACTGAGACAGACTCACTATTCGTGGAATCTTTTGCTTTTAACATCCTGGTCATAATACCTATAACCAGATGGCAGTTGCTTATCCCCTGGAATGTTTGACTCTTAGACCTTATCACCTTTGTTTTACTTGTTTGATGTTTCACATGCCTTTTGCCTATGTTTAACACTCACTTGTGCATTGATGTAAATAGCATTCCTTTTCAGGGTTGGCTTACCTATTCATCACTTGTCACTTAAAGCCGATGGTTAACTGTTTGTCATTCCAGGCTCTGGATGTAATCTCTGAAAGTAATCCTCAAATTTATATTGTATTCTGTCATCTGTGAGTCGCCAATATACTGTGCTCCTATTGGTTGTCTTTTTCATCACTTGCATCAAAGTTGGGAGAAGTTTGTCACTGTGGCAACATGGCAAACTAAAATGGCAAAAGTCCTGTGCAACGTTAATTCAAACAAGAATCTTTTTTCAAATAAGAGGAGTTGCCCATTGCTGACCATAACAAAGGATTTAGATTTAAAGCACTTTTACGCTGTTTACTTTCTTGAATCTGGGACTATATACAGACATATTTCATACATAGAGAAGAACATGATTTTTGGTACAATGAGTTTTGAAACAAAGCATTCTTTCTGATTCTTTACACAGACAACAGTTTTTTATGCCAGAAACAGTAGAATTATTTTTGTCTCCAGCATCATATCAACCATACAAATGAGAGTGATATCAAGCTTTTCAGTGGTATCAATATTCCTTCAAAAGAGTATATGCTAAAAGAAAAATGGAAGTTGCAGAGAAATGTGGTGTCAAGCGAACCAACAATAAGAATCCTTTGCTATAGTACTTACTAGATCTGCGAGGTCAACAGCTGGATGGTCCCATCTCTCCTAATGGAGTAGTTTATCTCAATGCACTTTCCTCTTGCAAAGGGAGCAGGCAGCTTCTCAATCTCATACCATTTACCCAGGTACTGTAACAACCATAGGCAAGTCATTAGATCTGTGCAACTCTTTGTTTAATAATTATATCTATTTCATTTGTATATCATTAAATAAAACACAGTTAGAAAATGCTTCACAGTTTGCATAAAATCACACATTGAAGATAGGTGTACATATTCAAGCACACAAAAAACACGGTCAGACATGTGGTCTTACACTCATTCTTGCATACGCACTCACATAAATACATATTAGAAGAACAAAAGCCAAAAATATTGGGAAAAAGTTTGAGGAAATGCTAACCTATAGAAATTAATTTTCAGAAGGCTAAGGCTGACCCAATGTTTAGAATTGCAATAGCCTCTAGATTTAAAAGAAGAGGGTGTGTGAGAGGGTGTAAAAGAGCCCAATCAGATGATCAGAGAGGACGACTGTAGTTAAAAGGTCCCAGTAGCTCAGCTATATATATATATTTAGGAGCCTTTATATTTAGGAGGTCTTTATATGTAAATTTTTTTTAATGGATTTCACTGAAAGGCGGTGAAGGAAAGCCATTATAGGAGTGTATGTCTTAGTTTGTACTCACCTGCTGAAGGTTAAAGTTGGGCTGCACCTTCGGAGTAGGACAGGGACCCCAGTGATAAGTCTGAGCTGATAGCAGAGGGAGCATCAGAAGGAGAAAGCACACACCAGACATTGTTCCTTCAGGAGATTAGGGTAGAAGTTACATTAGACGAGAGCTATTGCAGGAGTGTATATTTTCAGTAGCAATAATGCAAGAGCTGCATTAATAATATACTTAGAATTTCAGTAGAAAGATACACTATGGGTATTAAAACATAAATCTTTATGCTCAAGATGTTTGTTGTATTTCCATTTTATTAAAGTTATTAAAGCGTTCTTACCTGAGCTCTGTACAGATGTCAGGTGGAAGTTAGAGGCTGAGCTCTCGGTCACTGTCTGAGCTCTCCAGACAAACACAGGTCAGCCTTCGCATTACGTCACTCGGACAGCATAAGGACATCTGTTTAACTAATTGTAATCATGCGCACATTCCTGTATGGTGAAAGTGCTGTCACTGTGAGAAAGGATGAATGTCGTTATTCATTCAGGAACCGCTGTGTTAATGCTGGGTTCATCCCCGAATTAAGCTCCTATTTATTTCTTTATCATTTTCATTTGAATTGTTTGTCATACACCTGAAGATGCCACCTTGGAATGAGGGAAATTATATAAATGATATTATTCTTCATCACCTTTAAATGGTTTACAGATAAAATAACTAGCTGAAAATCAGTACTGCTGGCTCTTCAGTTGTACCGCTTTATTGTGATTTGAGGCTAGGAACAAAGATGATTTATGTGTGATATTTCTTCCACTTTATTACAGTGAAATTGCAAATACTTTTTTCTTTATTAAAAATAAAATGCCCCTCGATTATTTCACTGTGGGTCAGGATCGTATAGCATTTTCTTCATTTAATGACAGTTATAGTGAATGTAAGCCAAGCCAGTGTTTAATCGGTTCATCTTTAATGCCAGCAGAATCTTAGCAAAGTTTTTCCTACACCAAGTACAGCATGTTTCATTGATTATTACATGCAATCAAGGATATGCAAACACTCTTTAGTTGATTAAATCCAAAACCTTTAAAAATAGGACAGCTTTTACTGAATAGTTTCCAACTATCAGGCGGCTCACACAGAGTTCAAACCATTTCTGTGTTCATGTCTGTATGACAGCACTTTGATTTGAAGAACTGTGACATGAAGATGAATCATGATGGAAATAACTTTTGCTCGATGAGATGATCGTTTAATTGCAAAACATATTAAAACACAAAAATAATGTACTTTTTAAAAACAATGGCTCATGTAAAAAGTTACAGGCGTAGGTAATCAAGGAAAAAACCTTCAGAGTGAAAAACACACTCTACAATAACTGAACATCTCTGCCAGTTCTTGCTAAACGCTACAGCTCTGATCTGTGGGAGTCATATTGGAAATGTCGATCCCCCCACTGATCAGCATCCGCTTGGCCTGATCCACCATCTGTGGAGGCAAAGAAGGTGACCGCGCAAGAATCCAGGCGAAATCAAAGTAGAAGATCCCAAAGACATCTTTGCAGGAGTACGCAATGCTATAGTTGGTGTAGTCGGTTGACAGAACCCAGTATGGGGTGTAAGGAAGAACTGGGAATAAAGATCAGAAACAGAAATAAAATGTTAAAAGGAGTGTTGTAACAGTTAAAACAATAATATATATATATATAATCATTAAAATATATATATATGATAAAGGAGGTACCTACAAGACAAGAAGTTGACTCCAAGCTTGGCTGGTTCTTGTGGGTCTATAACTTTGGCTGTCCCTTCCAGGTACCACCTTTTACCCTGACTGAGAGAGACAAATATGTGATTTCATCAATCTAGTCATTGTGTCATATCTCTTATCATACCAAGGTCTGTCTCTAGTGCATTTGCTCCTAATCAACACTTCACTTGAGGTGTGTCACCACTAAGCCTTTTGTCAATATAGATTACATGGCATTTTTTCTTACTCAACCCAGCTCTTCAGAAGAAAAATACTTGTGCAAACATTAAATCAACACTCGGAACAAATCCAAAGAAAAGTCACTAGAAGTAAAGTTCAAGGTTTCACCCTGCAGACAAACACATCCATTTTTAACCATCTATTACCAGCGGCCAATTGCTTCAACAACATTAATGCTACTGCAAGAAACTAGACTTTTTTTCTTTGTTGTTATAGTTAAAAGGATTTTTTGATATCTGCAGGCGGAAGTATACTAGCTTTTCCCTGCGTTGTGTGAAAATGACTACCAGAGATGGGCAGTAACGCGTTACTGTAATCTGATTACTTTTTCAAGTAACGGGTAAAGTAAGGGATACTATTGCAAAAACGGTAATTAGATTACCGTTACTTTCCCGTAGTAACGCTGCGTTCCTGCATTACTAAAACC